TCGCGGCCCGCGTCCCGGCGGAGCTCGAGGCGGCTGCGCACCGCCTCCTGGAAGCGGGCGAAACCCGCGTCCGCCGCCTCTTGCGCCTGGGCGCGCACGCGCTCCCGGTCGCGGGCGGAGAGCAGGGCCTGGAACTGCCTCCGCGCGCTAGCCGGACTCTCGTGGAAGGCCTCGTGCAGGTCCTGCAGCATGTCCCCCGCGCGGCCATCCAGGAAGAAGGCCGCGACCGCGCGCGTGACCAGCAGGGCAGCCAGGCGCTCACCTGGGGAGAGAAAGAGGGCTTGTCCCGCCTTCCAGGCGCTCAGGGCATCGTCTTCAGGTCCGCGGGTGACCCAGGGCTCTAGCACCCCTAGGACACGTGCCCAGGAGGGCCTCAAGTCTGTGGGCGCCTGTAGGACAGATGAGAGGCGCCCCAGCCCATAAGTGACTCGTCAGGCTCTGCACCAGACCCACAGCTGCTGCTGGTGCGCCCAGCAGGGTTCCAGGAGTGCCACTCCGTCCAAATGGAATTGTACTCCTCTTCCCTCCACGACGTTTCAGTGGTAGGTTTTAAGGCCGAGTCCGCTCCATCTGCTGAAACTGGGGTTCTCACTGTGTGCCTTTTGTGGGGTCACTCTTGGGAACCAGTGCTTCCCTGTAGGGAATACATCCCAGCGGGGCCAGGAAGGAGGAACCCCCCCCCCCCACCCAGTGTGTAAGGATGGGTGTGGGAGGCACAACACCATAGCCCGGAGTCCAGTGAAAACAAGAACATAAAAGCAGAGAAGTTTGCACAGAGACAGACCAACCAACTCACCACCAACAGGCCCCCTGCCCAGTCCTGGAGGCCAAAACCAGAGGAGGGGACAAAAGGCCTGGAACCCAGGCAAGGCCAGGCCTGCAAGCAGCAGAGTCCGCGGGGGTCTCTCCTACATCTCACCCAGACTCTAGCCACACACATAAGACTCCTTGACACTGTCCATAGGGTCTGAGGCTCTGTTCACTTTTCTGTTCTTCATGTCAGATAATCTCATTTTTAATTAATTATTATTTTTACTTTATGAGTGTATTGCCTACAAGTAGGTAGGTGAATCCGTGTCATGCAATGCCCTGGGAGGTCAGAAGAGGGCATCAGATGCCCTGGAACTGGAGATAGCAGTGGTTGTTAGCTGTCATGCGGTCATTCGGTTCCTGGAAACCGAATCTGGGTCCTCTGCAAGAGCAGTCAAGTGCTCTTGACCGCTGAGCCGTCTCTCCAGCCCTCTATTTTATTTTAAAATTGGCTGACTTTGGGGGGCTGGAGAGACGGCTCAGCGGTTAAGAGCACTGACTGCTTTTGCAGAGGACCTGGGTTCAATTCCCAACACCCGCATGGCAGCTAACAACTGTCAGTAACTCCAGTTCCAGGGACTCTGAAGCCCTCTTCTGACCTCTGTGGACTTTGCATGAGAAGGGTGCCCCTACCTACAAGCAGGTAATACACTAGTACACATAAAAAATTGCTGGCTTTGGCTATCATTATGCTATGATTTTTTAAAACTTTTATTGTTGTACTTTCAGTTCCAGAATTTCCATTTTCGGAGGTGGTGCTGGGTGTCAAATCCAGGTCTTTGTACGTGTTAGGCACTCTACCTCGGAGTTATATCCCCACCCAGTATTTTAAAAATTGTTCATCGGACAACTGAGTAAATTTCCAAAAAAGATTTGTTTTTATTTTATGTGTAGGGGTGCTTTGCCTGAATGTGTGTCAGTGCACCACATGTGTGCAGTGCCTGGGGAGGTCAGAAGAGGGCATCAGATCCCCTGGAACTGGAGTTATAGGCAGGTTGATAGCCACCATGTGGGGTGCTGGGAACTGAGTCCTGGGCTGGGTCCTCTGAAAGAGCCACAAGTACTCTTAATCCATGAGCCATCTTAGTGGCCTCTCCTGGCCTCCATTGGCACCACATGAATGTGGCATGCTTACGTACATGCAAGTAAGACAGTCATACACATAAAATAAAAATAAAGTATTTTTAAAAGCTACAGCTATACGCCTGGCATGGTGGCGCACACCTTTAATCCCAGCACTCAGGAGGCAGAGGCAGGTGGATTCCTGAGATAGAGGCCAGCCTGGTCTCCACAGTGAGTTCCAGGACAGCCAGGGCTACAGGGAGACCTGTCTCAAAAAGACACACACACACACAAAAGAAAGCTGCAAGCCTGTAGTCTCACCTGGGGCCAACCCAGCATTCTGCTGCTCCGACTTAGTGTCCAGAGCTTTCAAATACTTGGTTTTGATATTTCATCCAAATTGAGTGGCTGCCGTCTATGGGGCAGGTACCTGGTCAGGTCATGTCACCTTTCCTGGGGCCAGCTTCACCGTTAGCTTTAGCAGTTTTGATGGCCTGGGAATTGTAAAATGCAGCCCCACTGCTAATCTTTCATTTTCCTGGGGTTCATTTTTCCAGTCTGCTGAGTAGAAAGAAAATAGTTCCTTTTTTAATTTGCCTCTGCCTCATTACTGGGGTGCTGTATGTTTCGGGGGTTTTATCGGCCGTCTGTGTTTGCTCTTTGGGGAAAAGCTTTGCCAATTCCTTTATTAACTTTTTTTTCCTTATTGATATGTAAGAACGCCTCCGATACTTTGCATACAGATTTTTTTTTTTTTTGCTATTGTGTATTTTGAAAACGTTTCTCTGAGAATTGTCTTTTCATGTCCTATAGTTATGGGAAAAGCTGTAAAATTTTAATTTCATAAAATATATCACAGTTTTTCTCTATTTTCCCACTTTTACATCTTGTAAAAAAATATTCTATTTGTTATTTTAATTTTATGTATATGAGTGTATTGTCTGCACCAGTGTCATGCAATGCTTGGAGGCCAGAAGAGGGCGTCAGAGCCCCAGGAACTGGAGTTAAAGATAGTTCATGTGGATGCTGGGAATTGAACCTAGGTCCTCTGCAAGAGCAGTCAGTGCTCTTGACCACTGAGCCATCTCTCCAGCCCCCACTTTTGCATCTTAAGAAGCCCACTATAGGAGTTGGAGAGATGGCTCAGTGATTAAGTGTACTGTGCTCTTGCAGAGGACCTGAGTTGGGTTCCCAGCACCCACATAGCAGCTCACACCCATCTGTAACTCCAGCTTCAGGGGATTTGATGCCCTGTTCTGGCTTCTGTGGACATTGCCTACACATGGTGCACATACATGCAGGCAAACATACACACAAAATAAAAGTAAAACTAAAAACAGACCCCCACTATACATTAGAAGTTTTAATGATACTCTCTTTGTATTTCTTTTTAGAAATTAAAATTTAGGGGCTGGACAGATGGCTCAGCGATTAAGAGCATTGGCTGCTCTTGCAGAGGACCTGGGTTTGGTTCCCAGCACCCACCTGGTGGCTAACAACTGTCTGTAACTACAGTTCCAGGGGATCCAATGCCCTCTTTTGACTTCCACAGGCATTGCATGACACGGGTGCACTTACATGCATGTGGGAGATACACTCAGACACATAAAAAATAAAATAAAAATTAAA